TCTTATCATTCTCGTATTAAACAGTCATCATGAGATTTGAACTCAGGACTGGCTCCAACAAAGTGGAGACTAGGTGACACTAGACCAAATGGTCATTGGCCATATCTGTATTCTATAATTGTCTACTGAGTCCAGTAATGCGTGACAGTTTGGTGGGTATATGATGTACTATTTCCTATTGTGCCCAGTTATCATACATAGTTTGTGACAATGAATTAATTATTGGCATTTCTCATGCATGTTGCGCCTTCATATTTACATTCAACTTGCCAATGTGCAGATTATTAGGTAATATTTTGGACATAATGCAGTTATGGATTGATATCACATCCAGAGAGCTTACTGTTTGGTTTATGCAGGTTTGGACTGTTTCTTCAGGCTTCTGCTTTATAACATTCTCTGAGCACACTAATGCAATCACTGCACTCCACTTTATGGCTAACAGCCATAGTCTCCTAAGTGCATCTCTGGATGGGACTGTTCGTGCATGGGATTTGTTCCGTTATCGAAATTTTAGAACATTTACCACCCCTGAATCTAGGCAATTTGTTTCATTGGCAGCAGATCAGAGTGGTGAAGTGATTTGTGCTGGAACTCTTGATTCCTTTGAGGTGTTTTTCCCCCTTTCTCCTAGTTTTTTTTTTTTGAAATATTTTTTTTACTTTAATGGTTCATTTTAATTGCTGTTCCCTGATTTTTCTTAATGTTCTGTACTCTAGATCTTTGTTTGGTCGATGAAGACAGGCCGTTTGTTGGACATTCTTAGTGGTCATGAAGGTCCTGTTCATGGTTTGATGTTTTCTCCTACAAATGTGAGTTTACTCATATTACGTTTGGTTGGTTGCTTGTTTAGTATAGATGCCTATGCTCCTGTATTCCCAAGTCTGGTTATTGTAGATGCCTATACTTGTGTAAAATTAAGTTGGTTTCTATTTTTGATTTGGGGCGTTTTCCTTATGTATTTGGTGTAATGCACCACCATTCAATTGAATCTGCTCACCTGTGACTCTTTTTGAGTGCCTATGAGCCCTTGGGAGATTTCAGTAGTTGGACCATTTGTTTAAAGTGGTTAGATTTGATCAAACCGCTGAAATATTCTAACCATTCAGGTCCTCTCACAAAGTTGCTCAGAGAAACTTTGTTTCTATCTTTTCATGTATTCAACCAAAAGTTTATTGACATATTTGGTTTGATAGTTGTTGTTTTTCTTCCACATGTAGGCAATTCTAGCTTCATCATCATGGGACAGAACAGTTCGGTTGTGGGATGTTTTTGATGGAAAAGGTGCAGTTGAAACATTTTCTCATACGCATGATGTTCTTACAGTGGTGTATCGCCCAGATGGAAAGCAGTTGGCTAGCAGCACATTGGATGGTCAAATTCATTTCTGGGACCCAATTGATGGTTTATTAATGTATACCATTGAGGGTCGCAGGGATATTTCTGGAGGTCGTCTTATGACAGATCGTAGATCAGCTGCCAACTCAAGTTCAGGAAAATTCTTCACAACCTTATGTTATTCAGCTGATGGGAGTTACATATTAGCTGGAGGAAGTAGCAAATATATCTGCATGTATGATGTTGCGGATCAGGTTAGTTTCTTACATGGTCAAGCTTTGAAGAGCTTGCTTTTCACTCTATAACGTACCTCAAACTTTTCTGCCGCTGGAACAACAAGACCTTAACATTGATTTATATGCACACTTCTTTTGCTCCTTTTTTATTCTTTGAAGAAACTGCATGGAAAAGCATGGGCTATATGTTCATTCACGGTTGGATTACAAGCTTTCACCCATTCTTACATAAGCAATTGTTGTTTACACTAAATTTATTGACTTTAGCCAACAAAATGATATATTGAAAGCTTGTAGGTTATTTGTTGTGATTTTCTTCCTCTGTCCGTATGCAACCTTTTCACCACATGGATGTAAGGCTCACCATGATTTCTATCTGGATTTCAAATGTAGCCATTTCTTATAAGCTTACTTTTGATCTACACTTTCTTCTTAATCTTCTTTCATTTCATCTTGGTGAATAGATTATAAATTGGTGTCTAGGGTGGCTCAATGAAAAATACACTCTAGATTTTATCAGGCCTGTTGAAAACACTAGATGTTAATAAATTCAGAAAATTGAGGAGAGCAGGTCTGCATAGTGTTTTTTATGCAGTTTTTAAGGCTTTGAACCTCATACCTGATATATTGAGAATAGTGAGAGGGGAAAGGGGAGAGGGGAGGGGAGAGGGGAGGGGAGGGGAGGGGAATACACATGTTTCAAATGTGGAACAGAGTTGAATGGATTTCTCTGAAGTTCAAGTTGGATGTTCAGAAGAGAGGATCAAACATGTGATGAGAGTTTTGATAAGAGCTGTACAACTCCCCACCCCTTGGCCAGTGTACCAATGAATATATTTCTCCACTTATAAGTCGCATATTCAGAAGGTCAAACATGTAACAAAAACATTGATTAGGGCTGCACAACTTTCCACTTCTTGGCAAGTGCCCCAATGAAAGGAAGTGGATGCCAGAATACCTCCATTGCGTTCAATGTCCGAATGACTTTTAAGCCCCTTGTCGTATGTCATTTTTGAAATAGTAGCCTGCTTTTTTCATACTTTCTTATGCTTGTTTCTTGCTTTTGAATGCTACATCGTGTATGCATTTGTTCTTTGGTAGAATTTATCTCTCCCAGAAGCTGTTACAGTCAACTTGTTTCAACGTCAATTTTCTACACTTTATTTGTCCTTAGGAAATGCTAGTTATCCTGACTTTTTCTCCCAATGTTTTTCCCATTGTATGTGGCGCATACATCATTGCATTGATAAAAACAACAATTCTGTGGAATCCAATGTGAGGATGCCATGTAAGTTGGTAAAAGGAAAGTTAGGATGTGTAGCATTAGTCCGCCTTCCATGGTCTTTTCTCCGAATCTAGTAACGTCACTCCTCTGCTTAATTATTTCCAAACTTCACATGTTCTATGTATGCCTATTGATGTAGTGGATTTATTTTCACAGGTATTGCTGCGGAGGTTTCAAATAACTCACAATCTATCTTTGGATGGAGTGCTTGACTTCTTAAACTCAAAGAATATGACAGATGCTGGCCCATTGGATTTAATTGATGATGATAACAGTGATACAGAAGAAGGTATTGACAAACAAACCCGGGGAAAGTTAGGTTATGATTTACCAGGATCCATGCCTAACCGCGGAAGGCCGATTGTTAGAACAAAATCCTTGAGAATCGCCCCCACTGGTCGGAGCTTCTCAGCAGCAACAACGGAGGGGGTTCTAGTTTATTCAATTGATGATTCCTTTATCTTTGACCCAACTGATCTTGACATAGATGTCACACCCGAGGTACTTGGTGAAACTTTGGAATATTACAAACTTCATGCAAATGTTATTGCTTCTGATAGAACTAAAATATTGAAAGAAACAAAGTCGATCAACATTTTACCCTTGCCAATGTAGCATAGGGCATAACTGAAATGACATTAAGACAACTAATCAATTTGCTTTTGTCTTTGTTTAGTTACAGGGTATTTCTATTTAGACCTTTAATTTGCTCAATAATGCCCTCTACTCAGTTGACCCAGTAAACATTTGAATTTTTTTTTGTTCTTTACACTCAGTATCCGCACCACAATACCACTATTGCTCCAATTAAATGTCAAACTTTTTGAACTTTGATATTCTTTTTTTTTCTGATAAAAATTGAAACTTCATTTAAGAAAATGGCAATTTTTTTCTTTCTTTTGATAGCATTTCTACAATCAATTTATTTTTTTTCCATATTAATTCTGATTACATTACAGGCAGTTGATGCAGCACTCAATGAAGACCAATTGAGCAAAGCTTTGATCCTTAGTCTACGATTAAATGAAGACAGTCTAATTAAAAAATGTATTTTCACTGTTAATCCAATAGACATCCCTGCTGTCGCCGCATCAATCCCTTACAGATATTTGCAAAGGTTAATTGAGGCATTTGCAGATCTTTTAGAGAGTTGCCCACATTTGGAGTTCATACTTCGGTGGTGTCAGGTATTTTTAACAATTTCCAATTCTGCTCAGTTTAGATTCTGTATACCTGTTACAGCAGCATTGTTTCTGTATGAAGATCTCACCAATGGTTTGCTATTGTTTGTCTTGCAGGAGCTCTGCAAAGCTCATGGTAACTCTATTCAACAAAATTTTCGGCAGCTGCTTCCTGCTTTAAAATCCTTGCAGAAGGCAATAACCAGAACACATCGGGATTTGGCAGATACATGTTCTTCCAATGAATATATGCTTCGATATTTATGTTCAGCAAGCACAGGGAAATGAAAATCATGGCAATGCTGCTACTAACTTTGCCAAATTTTTCAGAGTAAAAGATTACTTTTTGCATTGCAATGTGTTAAATCAACTTGCTCGGTTTGGAACCCTCCTCAAGAAGTTGGAAATAGTTACGCTACAATTTGCGAATCATGGACAAGAACTGCAATTTGTTGGTTAAAATATAATCCATGTAACAAAGTCTTCCAGTTATCACAGGTGTATTTGCAGCTTAGTTCATGTTGTCTCTCTGATAGTTGGAAAGTGTATTTGTCCTTTAAATTATCATGGTGTGACTGATAGGCAATTATCATATATCAGATAGCAACCTGCAGTTTTGTGTACCTTAGATTGAGAAGGGGAGCTAGTGGGAAAATGTAAGTTGAGATTTTCCTTTTCCCCACACTGCCTTTGTCTATGTAGAGTTTGGAATGATATAAATCAATGAAATTGGTTCAATTGCTTTGCATTCTACAATAGTCTTGATTTGGAATGATAGGTGTTGAAACGTTATTCTTTAATCCAATAAAGACAGGTGTTGGCCTATTCAGCTTCATCATATTCCATCCACACCTTCAGAAGTTGCTGGAGTGATTTTTCTTTTTTCTTTTTTTCCAAAGCAACGAACTGATTTTTAATTGATATATATTCTGCTGAACTGTTTATTTCCAATTCTTAAAAAGCAAAACAAAAAACAGATTTTATTCCAAAAAAAAATGTCCACAATTCCAATTGTTTCTCCATAGTGAAAGGGGGATTTCAGGCACACCCCTAAATGTATAGAGAAATTCAATCAAAACAAATCTCACATGAACACTATGTAATGCATTGCGGATGAAAGAGACATTTATTAAATTTGATGTCACATGGATGAAATGTCATCTGCACTTCAAATTCAACAACTTATTCAGACTTCTCTTGATTGGCTGAAATATCCTGAAGCTTTTCCTTGAGCTCACCAGTCTACACAGGATACACCACATCATTAAAAGCTATGCATTGCCTTAAAACAAGAAGAACTGAATTTATAAGGACTAACCTGATGCATATTGAGAATAATATCTGACCCTCCAATGAACTCCCCCTTGATGAATATCTGCGGAAACGTTGGCCAGTGGCTTCATAGGGAAAAAGAAAGATTAAGAAATCAGCTCGAAATCAAATACTTTAAAATTTGGGAGGCCAACATAAACCAACAGTTGTGTCTCTGGATAAGCAACAAAATTTGAAATAATTTTGGTCTCAAACTTGTAGATGTTACTAATATACCACAAAGAATCAACTTACCTGAAGGCTTTTACAGCACTTTTCAGTTCAGGATCTTCCAAGATATTCCTAGCACCCAAAGGAACATCTGAAAGGTACCGAATTATCATAAGAAAATAATTTGCAGCAATGTATAATCATTATCAGAGGTTAAGTTTCAAAAGAAGTACAATAGACCACTTGCAAGCACAATTTAGTAACTCGATAATTTGAAGTAATAATGTTTCTTCATAACCGTAAGTTATACTCCCCAGTCCCAAAAACATATGACCAGTTTTTTCATACCTTCAAGTTGAACTGCCCATTGAGTTAAATTTCCAGTGACACTTTAAACGTAGAGCAAATAAGAGCTTGTTATAAGCATAATTCACCCAAGAAGTAAACTTGAAAGGACAAACTAAAGCAATCTGTTAGTCATTTCACCCAAAACAGTATTCTACTTCATTGTTCCCTTGTGTTTTTTAGCCAGTGTTGATATTTCTGATTGAGTTAGGTGCATCACATATTTAGATGGAAGACTGATACTCTATTATGCAGGAAACATTATATGCACCTGTATGCATATGTTCGAAATTGGCAAGCCACTTAGATGGCTATATTTAACTAAAAGCGCCTCACTGTGATGGTAAATATGAACAATCATGAAGACTATGGATATCACTATGGTTTTATTTTAGTTATTTGTGTTTGCACATACATAGACTTTATTGCTAAATTAACTCAAGAAAACCACAAATCAGAGTTGGAGTATGAAATGACTCGGAACTCACTGTATTGTTTTAACACTCTTACTGCAAGTGAGCTGAAGCCACATTGAGGAAGATCAGGCACTCCTTTCATATAAAGCATTACAGGATTGTCCTTGACATCCTACAGAAGCGGATTAGAATCATTTAACTTAAAGAACAATGATCTTTGGTCTGGACGACAAAGGGGAAATAAAGAGCTATATTAAGAAGATTCAGTTGGCATATCTCTACCTGTTCAACAAGGTCCTTCAATGTAAGGCCAGAATTCTCCAGCTTATTAGTGGGCTTAAAATCATCATGTGTGTCAGGCTCATTCGGCACTGTGGTCGAGTATCTCATTCCATTGATATAAAAAGATCCAGGAGCCTACTACCAGTTTAAAGAAAAAAAACATTAACTGCTATCATTGGTAAGTGTGAAGTATAGATGAAGCACAAATTCAAAAGATGGCCTGGATTAATACACACGTACGTATGGCCACACATGATCCACTCAAGAATGCAAAAATACAGAATGTGTAATATGGGTTAATATTCTCTTCCCAAACTACCTAATGTTTCATGTGATCACTCTCAATCTAGACCACACATTCAAACAGTAACAAACATCCACAAGACCAGTGTTTGAGATTCAAAGTTGCTGCCAAGAGAACAATGCTCAAGCAATAAGTATGCTGAAAACATATATAATCCCATTACCTATTTCCCCACTGAAACATATTTCCCATCACAGGTAATATCAAAATTTCATTCGAACTACATTCTCAACCCTCTTGAGTTTTCTTTCTATTAAGCGCAACTAGTCCTACTAATACTAGCAAAACTACCTAAATGTGGAAAACTGATAAAGTCTTACAATTATGGCAGAACGAGCAGCCGAGCCTGAAAATGAAATTCCCTTGCAGAGCAACTTTGAAAGCGACCTTGCCATTCTGTGAGCCAAGAACATGCCATCAGTCGCATAATGTTAAGTTCAAAGCTTTCTACAATACCATTCATTCCTCTTCATAAAACTTAATATGCAACCGTGCTTGCTTAGCCGGAAACCGAAGCAATGTCAGAAACTTTATCGATTTACCTGCAGAAGAGGAGAGAGGTGGAGCCGCGCAAGTAGGCTGAGGAGAGAAGGAAGAAGGAACCCAGTGAAACGGTCCGTTTGTTCGAGCGCGAGTGACACTTGGCACCGTCGATTCGATCTACAAAGTTCGAAATGTTTGCGGTTTTTGTTGGGTCTGGCCGCGTGGGCTATTTATTTGAACCCAATTTGTTACACATTATTATACCTCTCGGTGAAATTTTATTTTGGGGGTGAAAGTTAATGCTACTTTGAAGTTTTACCCAAATTAAGAATGAAGGAGAAACGCAAATGTGGGTTAGGGCAGTTGGTGAAGGCTGTGTGTTCGTTCTCCCTCCGTGTACATTAAATTAGTGTAAAATACCGCTTTGTCAAAATAAAAAAAATAAAGGGAGAACTTTGAAAACTATAAATATATATATATACACTCATCTTACATTTACTTCATCATATCAGTCTATACAGTTTGTTTCTATCATATCTAACTTTTGTAATTGTGCCAAATTGAGTTTCGAAATTGCGTCACATTGAAAAAATATTTGTGACTTTCTCCTTGATTTAAAAGCATTTTCTCATATTTGCTCAATTAATTTACCAATTCCTTTCCCATATTTTATGTTGTCATTCAAAAACCTGTCTGTAGAGATTTGGATGCTAAGTTCATTTTTATTATTCATATTATTATGGATAAAAACCTGCACATGTTTATCTGAATTATCTAAATTTAATGTACAGTAAAAACCACAAGGTTTGTACAAAAGGAAATAGAGTCATCCTCATAAACCAAAACGATTATCTATAAAGTACTCAACTATGCTTAACATAAGCTAACAATGAATCAAAAAAAGAAAGCTCAGAAAAACAATAAAGTTCCTGCAGCCGTCCATTGTCCGGACAAAATAAAACTTCATGCTTCCTTACAATACTTTTTCAACAAAATGAAGCTTGAAGCTTTTGTCATTCAATACTTCCACTTGGTCATGGCTCGCAACCTGATCAGAGACGTACTCTGAAAAGGTAAAAAGGGAAGAATGATGAGAAAGACAACATTGGAAAATGACAATAATTCTGCTAAAAAAGAAACTTACAGAAAATCTTGACAATAGTCTTTTGTGTGAGCTACTCTCAGCAACAATGGGCTGCAGTCACCGCCTGTTGTTGTAAGTTGGCCATCTTTGATTTCGCCATCGCAGCCCCCTGGGACGGGGTGCATTTTCAGGTACAGAAGTATTGCTCCATCTAGGGGGGGCACGGCTGGCCTCCTCTGGTAAGGAGTTGTTGCCCCAACCAGGGGCACGGCTGGTCTCCTCTGATAAGGAGCTGTTGCCCCATCTACGGGCCCGGTTAGTCTCGTCTGATAAAGAGTTGTTGCTCCATCTAGGAGCACGGCTATTAGGCTCTGATATGAAATTATTGCTCCATCTAGAAGCATGACCACTCTCACCTGACAAGGAATTTTGGCTCCATCTAGGAGCACGACTAATCTCCACATCATTATTGGGTGCTCGCCAACGCAGACCTCTGGGACGAGATGTACTATCTGATAAAATGTTGCTCCGTCTTGTCACAGAAATTGAATCATTGTCATAATGAGCCCTGGGCATCCTTCCTGATCTGCGGTTATGTGTCTGCTCTCTGCCACTTGAAGAGCCACTAGAAGAATCCATCAAACGAGTAACCAGCATGACCTCAAGAGAACGAAACATAGCAGAGAAAAGGTTAGTCATCCAGGAACTGAACTCTCCGGATTCCTCATCAACAATATCTTCTGCAGGTCCTTGTTGGACCAAGCTAAGGACATCTTCCAAGTCCCTTTCACGCTCCAACCTTACCCAATCGCTATGTCGATTTGGATCCACCTCTGATGGCCGGACAGAAGGGTGTTGAGACCTGGCATGCTTCCTCAGTTCTGAATAAGTGCCGTTAAAGTCGCATGTCTCAGAAGAGCAATTCCTCACTTTACAATTCATGTAGTGACGAGCAGCCTCAACAACAACATATCCATAGATTTCTCCACGACAAAGAGGGCAAACTGGCTTTGGTTCCAATTGACTCCCACAAGGGCTGGTTTGCCCAAGCAACGACTGTTCCTCGTTAGCACTGTGAGAGGTTGTGATTGTGAGAGGAAGTTCTTGCAACATTGGGGTAGAGCAGCAAGGCAGAGATGACTTACAAAACTGGTCAAGGCAATTTGAGTGCCGGTAGCTTGTATTGCACATGAAAGGCCTGCAGCCCTTCTCATGAGAGGAACACTTTAAAAGAACAGCATTGTGTGGGTGTTCAATGCAGATGGGGCACCTAGCTTCTTCCCACTCTTTTACATTCTCCTTGCTTTCCAAGGGATTTTTCAGGTTGTATGGCTCAGAATCATCAGAGGTGCAAGGATAAGGAGAAGCCCTAGATCGATCAAGAGACAAGGAACTAGCTCTTCTAACCTTAGGCATTTTTGAAGTTAAGATGCCACCACAGAATACTAAAACCTACTATTTTCAACACATAACATTAGTAAGCACAAGTATAACCAAATAAAACTTTCGAAATAACTCTACAATGTATGTTATGAAAGAGCGAAAAGAAATGAGACTGCGCATTAGGAAACCCAGAATTTACCATACTTCAACAGAACAAAGTGCTATATTTTGGGTGTGATATTAGGTGTGCGCTTGTGTGCATGCACATGATTATATATCTTGGTTTCAAAGTGCAGGGATTATCATAATTGATATGCCACAAAATACTGATACAAAACATTTGAGCATAACCAAACAACAGACCTATTACAAATCTCTGTCCACACCTTTATTATAACTTCAACACCACAATAGAAAGCAAAACCTTAATCATGAACACCAATTAATCATTACTAGGTAGTTCCAAGAAACCTGCACAAAATGTGCAGCACACTGCACCAAGGTACTGCCATTGCAGGGTCTGATGGGGGTCAAATGCACGCAGCCTACCAAAGCTTGCGGAGACACTGTTTCTCGTTTGAAACCCATGAGTCCATGACCTCCAGGCCACAATGGGGCAACATAACCCCGACCTCCAGACGCACGTGCCATAAACTCCTACTGTTGCATTCCAACATCGTTAAACCTTTACCAACACTAATGTTTTTGCAACATCATTATCCCTCTAATACATATGTTTAACATCACTTGGGTGTAATAAACTAATACAGGCTCTATAAAGAAAATTGTAGCTAAAATCCCTTTCCTATAGATATGAAACATACACTACTTTAAGCCTTTCAATCATCTAAAAGCCTAATACTGTTAAGTAATCAATGGTTACTCAAATTCTCAGTTGGGGTTTACCCATAAACAAAGACTGAGCTATGTGGGAGCTAGATTCTAGTCAAATGACAAAGGTGGAAAGGCCTTTATTAGGAATATCAAGAGTAACAGCTAGAGAATAGTTCCTGAATATCGTCCTAAATATCCCATAGGATTCAAAGAAATTTTAACAAACTATATCATCTATATGCTTATCACAAAACTCTTAATAAAATAATAATAATTTCCAGCATTTATGTGCCAATATACACACATATTTAAAGACTTAAACTGGATTTCAGCTTTTAGTGTCACACAATATGGATATATACGTGAGAATCTCATGGAGCATGGTCCTCTGCTTTTTTGACAGGACTACATGGGTCCTTAATCTCTATATCTCAATAAGCAAACACATACAAATCGACTCTACATAACAAATAATCAATCAATCTGGTACAAACTAGCACTATGGATTGCATAACCGATCAATCTTAAATGTCTAAAATTTATCTAGGTTTAACTACAAACCAAGTACATATCTACACAAACAATTTCAAGCAAATATGCCCATCAACCACAATCCTACATATACCACTTAGCCACATACTTGGTAAAAAAAAATATGAAAAGATGCCAAAGAAACTCAACCTAGCTTGTAGTTTTAGTTCAATTCCTAGACTTCCCATGAAATTACTAATTTTTCTTTTCTATCTTCAAGATGAATTTGTAATACGCAATATCCTTACCCTCAAAGCCACCCGTTGGCCATTCAATATATATCGTTGACCATTATATATCTAAAGTGAAAAAAACGCACCATGTTCTCTAAATCTATGAATCCAAACAAAACAAACTAGCAATATAAAATTTAGAAGAACAAAAAAAAAAAAAAAAAGAGATCAATTACAAGAACTGACAATCTTGACGCTAAAAATTCAAACTTTCCAGTGTTTCGAAGCCAAACAACAAATCGATCAAGATCCAGAAAGAGTTACGATCTAAAAATCATCATCGAAGATCCAGATCGCAGCAAACTGTACAGATTTATAGGGTTAAGAATTTTACCGGAGGGTCTTTCTTGTTGAGAGACTTGGGAAACTTCAATGGAAGATGACAGCGTTTCTGACCAAAATTGTAAAGGGAAGGGCGTGTAAGCTGTATATATAGACAGAGAGACGCGCAGCGCCTTCCACATGATAGATATGTGAAACGACTATTATGCCCCTGTTAATTCCTGTACCCACTAGAACTTAATAGTAAATTGGACAAAGCCTAACTGAACGGTTACATTTTAAATGCACAAGAGTTGGTCCGGTGCTAGCCAGCATAGAACGATGAGAAAATTCAAAACCTCCTGGGCCGGACTCTCGCATTCTAAAATATCCGACCCGATAATTTTCAGGTTGATCCTCTCTTCCAATTTTAGGAAGAAGGAAAAAACCTCACGAGATCTAATCTAGTCCAGTAAAAAAGAGCTTTAAATTATAAATTATATGTCTCATATTCGAATCTCCATGATATTATCATTCTGTAAGTGTGAGAAATCTCTCATATGTAGTTTAGACTATCATTTCTACTTCAAAGAAAAATAAAGGATGATGAATTTTTTTGAAAAATAGTCAATTTTTAAATGCTCTAAAGCTTTTTAGCCACTTATTTTTTAGGCTTCCAACATTTTAACCACTTGAGGGAGCCTCGAGCATACTCGAGTAAGATTCTAGAACTACTCAAGTGGGTTATAGCGTTAAGAGACCTTGAATGGGTAGATTTCAAAATCCTAAGAGGAAAAGAAAAAAAAATGCTAAAAGTCTAAATTTGCTTAAATAGTGGATACAACTTCCAAAATTCCCCTCATTGATGAACCCAATTTATTTTTGAAACAAACAATATTGGGGGAGGAAGAAATTGAACTTAAGACCCTGAGTTATTTGAAATATGTGATTTTTGGGCATTTAATGTGGCATTTACATTGAGACATTATACACACCAACGAGAGTAAATCATGGGAATTTCCACTCTGTAAAATAACTTCAATAGTTAGAGATAGTTCAAGATGATACCGCAATTCGTCCAAGCTAATCAATATGTTTTGCTCCTTTTCTTTTGAGAAAAGCACAACTTACACTCAAAACAACCTAAGAAAAACATATACGTAAGTTGAAATATTATGCCTTAGAACTTAGCCTTCACTTTTGTAAAAGTGTGAACTGAAAGCAATTTTTTTTTATTTTTTTTTGGTCTCAATGATATTCTTTAGATTTTTAATCAAAAAGAGTATCAAAGATACTTTTTCAATACTTGCCAATTGGTTTTATTTTTTATTTTTTATTTTATTTGTAGAATTAAGAAAAGATAACATGGATAGTTATGTTCCGTAAAAGTAGGACTTATTATCTGATTTTGTTTTTAATTTTAATTTTTTTCAATATGAAAAAATGTGTATTTACCATATTATCCTCATTTAATTAATAATTTCAATGCTTAATGTTTGAATTAACTAATGGTATTTTCTAGTATATTAAATGTTTCACCATTTTCTGCATTTTGTTATGTATATATATATATATATATATATACACAAATACTAGGAAAAAATTTACTTTATTTTCAGCCGTATGCTTAGAAATAATTATAGAACGAACAGACAGGAGCCATTGGGTTTTCAGTGAATAGATATAGGAAGTATACTAATGGGTATCGTCTTTTTAATTTACAAAATCCATATTGAGCAAATCAAAAGCAAATATGCACGAGAGTATTATTCCACGTCGGAAATAAAAGAACCAAATATACAAACAACAATCCCATCTCATTCTGAAAACCATACAACATAGAACACCCGAACATCAAAGAAACGCAACAATCTCATCATAGACATGACTGGTATCCTACTCAAAAAAGTGAATTCAAAAACTATAATTCTTTTGAAAAACACATGAGTTTTCAAATACAAGATATTAAAACTTGGCACATGGAGTCCAGTATATGTGAGACAAATGGTAATGATGACTAGAAAATTTAAGAGATATTTAGTGATATACCCATTTCTAGCACTAATATTATAAATAAACCCTACACAATTGAATTTATATAAACAAACCCAAAAAAAACCCAAAAAAATGACAGCTTACCTTATTGAATTTAATATTGATTATTAAATTACTTTGATGCCCTATTGAGTGTTTTGGGTATTTTTATGAGATTTTGGGGTTGGGCTTGTTTTAAGAAATTGATAGCAGTTTTGTTATTTATAAGAAGTTAAAAGTTTTTTTGTCATGTTATAAATGGGCTTTGGGTGTGTTTCTAAAGTCCATTTCATATGGGGTATTTTTATAATTTGGGCCTTCATATTGGGTATAATAGTGAATCTCCCAAAATTTAATTGTAAGGACTGGTATAAAAAAGAGGAGATCATATGAAAATGTAACTGATTCTTTCCTTTCCTTATTGGCCATCATCAGCCGGGAGTTTCGGGTTTAATAACTATATTTTAGCATCTGCTTAATCTTCCTCGAATTTCCAACTTTACCCTTCAAACTAAAACAACCAAATAAAAACTTTTGCTGAGTTGGGCCAATGAATACAGAGAGTGGTTTCCTAGTCCATTAAGGAGACGGATTCCTGCTCAAATTAGGTTAAAAATCTCTATATAAATTAGGACATAGGTGATACTTATTTCACACAATCCCTCAAAGAGCCAGCCCTAAGGCACTCCTCTCTCTGCGTGAAAAACTTTAACATCTGGTGTTTGAATTCTCTTTTTCAACTGGTACTAGATAGATTATCTGCCAGTTAAAGCGTTAGTGTTGTGTTTTTGTGGAAGCTATGAGTAAGGTTGATGTTGATCGACGACCAATAGGATTCTTTTTGCCCTTACAGGCTCCTCCTGATGACGATGGAAGCAGCGTTTTACCTGTCTCAGCATCCCAAGGGACTGAAGTTAGCAAGGATGAGAAGCAATTCATGAATAAGGAGGAGAAGTTGAGCAAAACCAACTTGCCTTGTACTTCAGTTACGACGCATACTAGGGCTATTGGGATCATATATCCTCCCCCAGACATCAGAAACATTGTTGACAAAACTGCTGAATTCGTGGCGAAAAATGGACCTGGATTTGAGCAAAGGGTCTTGGCTAAGAATACTGGAAATGCAAAGTTCAACTTTTTGATTTCCTCAAGTCCCTTCCATGCATATTATCAGCATCGGTTGTCTGAATTCCGTGGACAGCAACCTTCTTCTCAGTTTGCAGATTCTGCTGCACCCGAGTCGGCCCCACCAGCTCCGGCTGCAGACGGTGAAGCAGGAGGAGCACCAAAGCCTGACGTCTCTGCCCACTTTAAACCAGCGTGCAAAGTGCTCGAAACACCAGAGGCCGAGCAGTATACTGTTCGGCTTCCTCAAGGAATAACTGGAGAAGAGTTGGATACTGTTATGCTCACAGCCCAATTTGTGGCTCGAAATGGGAATTCTTTTTTGACAGGATTGACAAGCAGAGAGATCAATAACCCCCAGTTCCATTTTCTGAGGCCTAAGCATAGTATGTTCCCATTTTTCACTTATCTTGCTGATGCGTATTCGAAGGTGTTGATGCCGCCTAAGGGTTTGACAGAGAAGCTTAAGAAAAGTGTTGCAGACTATGCAACCATGCTTGAAAGGTGCGTGAATCGACTGGAGTGGGAACGTTCACAAGAGCAGGCAAGGCACAAGGCTGAAGATGAGGTTGAGCAGGAAAGGATACAAGCGGCTATGATTGATTGGCACGATTTTGTTGTGGTTGAAACGATTTACTTTGCTGATCATGAGGATGAGGATTTACCTCCTCCAATAGCCCCTGAGGAAGTTATAAGGAGAAGCAAGGTCACAAATATGGAAGAAGATATTGTCGAGACTGGTAAGGAGGTGGAAATGGAATTGGACGAAGAAGACTGGAGGACAGACGGACTTGAAGAGAAGGAGACTAAGGTGGCAGAGGATCCAGAACCACCAATGAGAATTGTGAACAACTGGAAGAGACCTGAGGACAGGATCCTTTCCCGAAGAGACCCAACAAAGTATGTCATTTCCCCAATCACTGGGGAGCTTATCCCTATCAATGAGATGTCTGAACACATGAGGATTTCTCTTATCGATCCAAAATACAAGGAGCAGAAAGAACTAATGTTCGCTAAGCTTCGGGTGACTACTCTTGCTCAGGATGATGAAATCTCAAGGAACATTCTGGGCCTTGCACGAACCCGCCCTGACATTTTCGGTACCACAGAGGAAGAAGTTTCTAACGCTGTCAAGGCTGAGATTGCAAAAAAGAATGATGAGCAACCAAAACAGGTCATATGGGACGGTCACACTGGAAGCATTGGCGTCACAGCAAATCAAGCCATGTCACAGAATGATGTAGTTAACGAAGATGCCAAGAATCTTCCTGGTCCAAAACCTGATGTGCCTTTAGTTCGTCCTATTCCCGCACCACATGGTCTCGCATTGAATCTACCTCGTGTTCATCCAAACAGAGTCCAGTATTCTGCTCCAACTAGCAGTGGCCTCCCTGTACCTCCACCAAGGCCCCCAGTTGTCCAATATCAATCAATTGCACCACCTGGACCTCCAATGCCCATGAGTTCTGGACAGCAGCCCCTTTCAATGAACCGACAGATGCCTCCATCAATTTCTATGAGTGCACCTAGTATTCCTGTAACACCTCCACCTGGTTCTCAGTTTGCACCCATGCAAGCTTATATCCCCCTTCCTGTTCCTCCACCTGCAATGCAAATGATGCCACCACCACCACCTCCACCTCAGAGAGCCCCTCCTCCGCTTCCAGAAGAACCTGCACCAAAGCGCCAGAAGCTCGATGATTCTATGCTTATTCCAGAAGATCAGTTTCTGGCACAGTAGCCAGTGCAGGGACCTGTTCGCATCACAATATCCGTCCCCAATGTTGATGAAGGTAATCGGAAGGGACAACTGTTGGAGATTACATTGCAGTCTTTATCCGAAACTGTTGGGAGGCTCAAAGAAAAAATTTCTGGGGAGATCCAGCTTCCTGCAAACAAGCAGAAACTGAGTGGAAAACCTGGTTTTCTCAAGGACAATATGTCGCTTGCATATTACAATGTTGGAGCAGGAGAAACACTAAC